GCCATGTGCCTCGGTGGTTGAATTAGTTAAGACGCCCGCCTAGCTAGAGGAAGGTCCAGGTTCAAATCCTGGCCGAGGTGATATTTTTCGCAACAAATTTAGAATAAAATATTTAGACACTAACACCTTTGTCGCGGCTCGTAGTCCTTTATTCCTCCAATTTGTGCTTAACACATTTGAGCCATGCCAATTTTATTAATTTGTTAATTTTTAAAAACTTTTGTAAACCATCTACATATCTACACTGCAGTTGACGAAGTCACTTTGTTAAAAAGTATTTATTGAATATTTTATTTTTAATAAATTCTGAATAGAATTACGAAACCATAGCTTACTTCGGCACCATAGATCCGCATGTTTCAGAGAATGAAAAACGCGGCAGACGTGATGCGACAAGACGTTAATGTAACGACGATAATAACGTGTTGCTGCTAAGATAAATTTAACGGAAGTTGTCGAGCAAATCCGGAATATTAATTCGCAACTGTCAAAAGATTAAGGTCGCGCTCAGCGAGATTAGGGCCAATCAATAGCGCAACGATCGCGACCTTCCGCCATCGGCGACGTTGTTGGAGTTGTCAGGAGCGCCGAAGGGCTTCGCGTGTCCGATGCGGTGCAATCCGTCAATCAGCCGAAAACGATCGTCGGTAGAATCGTCAATCGTCGACGAATTTAGGTCGTTGCAAAGCCTCGCATGAGCTTGAGCGGGATTGAACTTGCATAAGCCGTTCCATAAGCTGAGAAAAATAAACAACGACGAGCGCTTTCGCGCGTCGGCAGCGAACAGATCGGGAGCCGTTTTCTCTCTCCCTCCCTCCTCTCGCTCTCTCTTAAAGAAAACACTGTCGCAGTCCTAATAAGGGCGCACCCTCGCTTCCCGTGCTCCTGGAGTAACCTGTTGCGGCGACTCTATTAATAGTTCGGGTCCCGATAAAAATCCGGCCCGACCTCGCTACGTTACCTGGTTACGTTTTCCGACGCTTCCCTATCTCGAAGTCAACATCAACGATCGAATAATTAAACAGCAAATACTTTCGTGTCATAAGGTGATCAAGCTGCGTGCGGAGCTGTTGATTAATTAAAAAAAAACATAATTGTGTCACAACAATCTTACGGGAAAATAAAAAGATTGACAAATACAATGCATGGTGAAGTGCAATCGTGCGTAACTAGAGTACGTCACGTGTATTTATGACGATATTTTTGTTTCACATGTTTTTACAATGGCGCTCGATACGCATGACGCGACTATTCCGGGAGAATAATTTTGGAACGGTCCGGTAAAACCGGGCGATACATATATATGTGCAACACAGTAAATTAGATGACCCCCGGAACAACTACAAATCTATCAGGACTAGTCACCCAATTAACTTGAACAGTAAAGATCCTTTAAAAAATGACTGAGGTATCTCCCGCGCATTTCGTGCCGGTTCGTGTAAGTGGCAGCTATCAATTGGAAAGACGTCGCGGCTCGTTTTATTTCCCCCGAATCGAAAACTTCAGGAAGCTCGGTAACTTACCAGTTTTAGCCAGAGATTCGTGATGAGCAACTGGTTCTTCTCGTCCTGTAACAATAATTAAATGTGAGTGTTAAACAGCTCGTTTTTTCCACGCGCAAAACGCGTTTTGCATGTTTAAGTAAAAGCTATTATACGTAATCATTGACGAAAAAAAAAAGAAAAGTCTTAGTAGTGGATGATTGTTCTCACTGAATAATTATTTAATATTGATAGGACGTAATAATAGAGTTTTACATTACTAAACAGATTTCAAGTTACCAAATCCGCAAATGCAGGCAAAATAATGAATGAAAGATAAATAAAAAATCGAGGACCTCTTGTACACAAGTTATAAATATCTAATATTTCAAAATATGAATTTTTAATGTTGCGAGTTAATATTATAAATATGTAAGACTTGTATTTTAAAAGTGGATACAAGCCTGAATTTTATTTGAAATTTGTCCGACGCAAAACGAATTAATGCGTTAGAAGCGGCCTCGTAACTCATTATGCAGTTTCATATCGCAATTAAAAATTGCTGCAGAAAAGCGTATGTGTATTTAACAAGGTTTGCGAAGACAAAGGACCTTCATTGCTCAAAATGTCCGCAAGTTGCATAATAATGGCATACAAAGTGTGTTATATTTAATCAATTGGACAGTGTTGGCAAAGTAAACTATTTGCGCAGATTTTCGCGACTGTTACAAATTTAGTATAATAAATTTCTGAGAACAAGCTTTTTTGCAGATGATACGGTGTTAAAGAACACACTGAAATGTGGTCGAGCAGCATCATAAATTACGAGAAATTTTTTTGCTCAAAAATTTATGTATTATTAAAGGAAGAAATAAAAAAAGTGAACCGAGAGAGAAATCTTTAAAAGAATATTATAAACGGATCGCCGTTGCCTACGCAACATAAACTATCAAGTTTTAAAACATTTTATACAACGTAATAAAAGCGTTTGTTTAACAAGGCTTTTAATAAAGTTATTATATTGTCACATTTTATTGCGTAACATGTAAGGACTAGTGTTATTCCTAACTTGCAAAATTTATTTTTACTAAACTCTCTTGTTTTCACAAATTAAAAAAAAATTTTGGAGACCTTTTCAGACATATGTTACGAGAGTGCAGTGTATACATATAAATGATTAACATTACAATCCAAAAACTGGAATCCTAGAATATTCTGTTGGCTTTTATCAGCCCTCGCATGCCAATTAAACTCGTCAACTCTTATGAAAACATAGATTGTTGTAATCCATTTGTCACTGGAAACTGAATGCGAAATTGATTAGTCAGAACCAGTTAACAGAAATGACTAACCAACGTGCATTCAAAAAATTTAATTTTGCTTTTGGGAACGCAAATAAAAGATTTTTATAAAATATGTTCATAGATACGTGCTATAATTATTTTTCTCGTGTTTTTCGCGCGCAACGTGTATGAAATTGTCTCTGTCAACAGAATTTGTTTCATATTTCCTAAAAATCTAGAAAGTTTTAATAAAACTAGATCAAAGAAGAATATATAGGTATTCCACGTTGTAAAATGTAATGTATAAATTACGATTTTTAATTTGAAAAGTCTATGATTTGTGACAAATTTATTCAGAAAATTCTTTAATTTTGTATTGTAAAAAAATTAAATAATGTAATGTCATAACAAATGGAATTCTTCGTATCGTAGATGTTTTGTGAATGGTTAATTATAATTTTTTAGCAATTTTTTGTTATGACGTTTAATTAGTATTGTACCTAAGATTATAAAATTGAAGAGATAAATTACAAAAAATAAGAAAAATTTATCACGAAATAGAGATATACGAATTTATGAAAAATGGAAAATGTGAAAGCTTGGAGGTAGAAAACAAGAAATAGTGCAGTTCTCTTTGAGAAAAGCCTTGTTTTACATCGTGTCCGCATGTCAAGAGAATATCTCGAAGACAAATATCGCACATATGCGCTGAATGAGTGCATGCAGCGAGCCTCGTGACTTCTTGACATACAAGCTAGAAATTGTCCCCAGTAACGCTTAGTCTGGTATATTGCCGTCATTTTTACTACCGTCGTGTACGAAATTTCCGATCTCGTTTGTACTCTTCATGCATTATCAGCCTCGTCATGTGAAGCATCGGCTTTCGAGTTTTCCGTGTTCAAACCGCGTTCTTATCCTGATTACGAGCGGCATCTTACACGAGGAATGCTTACCTCCCGTGCTACATGGGAGCTGCATTCCCGTGTCCCATGGGAGGCAGCATCCACGAAGATGAACTTCGATATATCCTCGAAACGTACGGCAATACATGGATATTGATCCTTGTATCAGAAAAGCGCACGAAGGAGAAGCGGTAGGAACAACAAAATAATATATAACATTGTATCACGAACGATAACTTTATAACCACGGTAACGCGCGCGCGGAAGATAATTCTCAACTCGATGTTGCGAAAATTTTTCCACAAGCATCCCACAATCGTCGAGATTGTAATAGATAATACTTTTAGGAACACTAAACAATTTTATATTATGATAGAATATCTTTCTGCCTCTTTTGTGTACGCGTACGTTACAAAAATGTCTTACTGTATAATATTGTATAACACGTTTATAGAAGTATATACTCTAGTTCAGTTTTCTCGGAACTATTAGGCCTGTCGCACACAAAATTGCATAGCTACATATGCATAGCACAAGACCGTCTAAACCAATGAGTATCGAGCATTGAGTCGCCATATTGGTTTACATTACATGCTCATTGGTCTAGACGGTCTCGTGCTATGCATATGCAGCTATGCAATTTTGTGTGCGACAGCCCTTAGATGGTACAGGCTACTCCATGCCTATCGATAGCAATCTTATAATTACTTCCGTCTCGATAGCTCGGCGATTCTTTAAATCGTATATCAACGGAGTTAACAATTGGCCTTTCTTCTCCCGCGGCATATATCGGACGTTTTCGTAGTCCCGATCCATTCCGTGGAGAAAAGTGAGCTCCGAGTTTCTCGCCGGCTTATCCTTTCGTTCGTCCGCGAGATAAACTGTTTCTCGATAATTGGATCTTATCGTTTAACCTCACCCCTTTCAAAAACCACCATCCAAAGCTCCATCTAAGGTCGAGGTTAATCCACGCGGTCATTACTTCGCCGCATTCCCTTGCATAATTTAACGTCTCGCTGAAACTTTTCATTGTCGGCCGTTCTCCAAGCGCCCGCTCGATCCTGTAGGCTAATGGGACCATAGTTGCGCGCGATCATAGCTGCATCTCATCTTCTAACATTGTCACTAGTTGAACCGCAGTGTTGGATTGCGGAATTATACTGGACTACGCAATTTTTGTATTTTATAGCAGCAATATAACGATAATATGTTTTACACATGCGAAATTGATTTCTTATTAGCGTACGATATATTTGATTAAAATATATGGTTACACTTGCAATTTTATAATTTATAAATAAATTGTATCCCAAATTATAGATTATAAATCTCAATTAAAAAGGTATAACAAAGAAAATGCATTAAAATAAAATGAAATCAAACGAACTAATAATCTGAAAGTGAACATAAGTGCGCGGAGCAACGAATTAGTTGAACAATAATTCCATTCTGCTTCGTGGAACGTAACTGTTTTCAATCCGGAAGAATTTTCATTCTGCGCCAAAAGTAACGGCGCTTCCCGTTTTTCCCCGATGCGATGACTGTCGAATCTTGCGGCACACTATTATCTGGACCCGTTCCAACGTACTCTGTTTTTCTCGGCATCGAGTCCTCCACTGGAATTTTCGAGCAGTCCGGGGCAAATACTTGGAGGTTTAACAAGCTGCCTTCTGACGCGTAACTAAACGAGAATGAGAAAGAGAGAGAGAGAGAGAGAGAGAGAGAGAGAGAGAAAAATGTTTCACCGCAATGTAACAGTCTGCTAGGATTGTTTGAATGCGAAAAATAGAACAAACAAAAATCTTATCCACTGTGACTTTACGGACATTTAATTTTTAAGAAACGTAAGTTATTCTGAAGAAAATCGTGCGCTTAATACGCTTAAATACGAGTCAATACGTTTAACGAATCACTGACCGTTAATAAATGATGATTGATTTTATAGTTTCATCTCTCTTTCTCTCGCTCTGTCTTTGCTATGGTCATATATCCCTGTGCTTTTTGTAAAGAAAAATTTGACATGGCTTTCAATTATTGGGTATTTAGCTGCAATTAATTACGAGCTAGATATTCTTAGTAGAGGTTCGGTGTTTGTTTCAGTTGAATGAATATTAATTCGAACTTGGGATGTGCGGCGCTTCCACACAACCGCATTATTACGCAATGTTGTAGATATTCCGGATACTGATTAGGAAACTATGCCCAGGATTGTTTCAGGACCCGCCTGCGATATGGTTTAGCCGCGATTGTACAGATTTTATGTGACCAAAGAGAATGTTCAGAACCTGCCCCGACAAATTGAACACTGCCGCAGACTATTGCGGTCACTTCAATCAACCGACTACCTCGATGGCGTCTACAAAGGAGAGTCCGGTATCTCCTCTCGACACGTGTATTCAGTATCTTGCCCGTTGATACTTGCACTAAAACCGCCTTGACCTCGATTATTATTCTTTATGTGAGAGAGATTCACGTAACCGCAATTGGATCAGTGATAATGCTCTTTAATTTGCCGTCCAAAGCGGATTAATGTATTCAGAAGCTATAAAACGGGAAATTAATTTTAATACGTTCACAGACTTGCTTCACTTCTTACAACAGATATAGAGAAATATATTCAGAGAAACGTAACCACAGATTTGAAGTAGAAAGTTTGAATTAGAAAGTTTGAAAATACACGGAGAGAAATTTTTCTTAAAATTTATCCTGAAGATTACGTAATCGTGGGACAACGTGGCATTTCGAAGACTTTTATGAGAGTCCTTTTTAATTTTATCATACACTCTACTAGTAATTATACTTAGTATACATTTGACTAGTAAAATGTATGGTAAAATTTAAAAAAACTCTCGTTCTTTAAAACGCCATGTTGTTCCACGATTACATGATGTTCAGGAAAAAT